GGAGTTGGTGTATCGGAATTAGTGAGACTGGCTCAGGACAGGGAAGGGTTCAGAGCTGCTGGACATAGGGTCACTATATGTTGCAGGTGACTCAATGGCACATGACAACAAAACCATACTATATTGATTGTTTTTATTTAAGCCTCGGCACATAACAACAACAACAACAACTTTTAAGCTTCATGTTTAGAGTCAACAAGACCTTGAGGAGGGCCTTTGTATTTAAAAGTTGGTTGTTACTATATTTTGAAGGAACAGTCTTCTAAGTGGTGTAGCATTCTTCTGTCAATATGCTGTACTGAGGTAACCTGATGTTGCTGTGATGCTGAACATTTTGCCATTGGGATGTCAAATGCCATAACAGTTACCCATGGTGGACAGTGTTTGGTGGAACTCCCAGTTTAAGTCACGTTTGGAAGCAGGAATGGCATCCACTTCCTAAACAACATGTCGCTGAAAACTCTATGAATTTTTATAAATGTCAATAGTTATAGAAAGCTTCAGACCTTTTGTTCATAGGGTCGCTATGAGTCATGCTCAACACGATGGTAATCAACAACAACAACAACCAACTCTGGCAAATGTACTATAAGCAAAAGTGTTGTGTTCATTCCAGGCTACAGCAGTCATGAGCCAACATATCTCCTTCATTCTGCCCGACACAGTAATGCCAGAAGCATAATGCTTCAGAGGAGGTACAGGGAGACAGACAATTTAAACTGACAAATTATAATTTGAGCAAGAAAAAAAAATTGTATTTTGCTGTTTTATACTACTGAGATTCTAGATCTGGGTTGTTTCTACAGTGGCTTAAATTACCTATAAGTTAAAAAAAAAAAAAAAGGTACCATCTAACACAAAATGTGTCCTCTTCTTTCTCAAGGAGTAGCTCCATGGTCTGATGTTTCCTTTTTCCAGAAACTGTGACCTCAATGTCAGTCAGTTCCAAAGGGAGTTTTGGTGGTGTAGTGAGTCACATTGCTAACTCTAAGGCTATGTTTCTCTGATGGTTTGAATCCATCAGTAGCGCCATGGGAGAAAAATGGGCAGTCCCCTCCTGTTGCAACTGTACCTCTGAAACCCAGTGGAGGCTCCTTATGCGTCAGGACTGACGACGACATTGAGTTCTGAATCAATTCTGATTCATGTTGACCTCCTGTGTTACAGAGCAGGGCTGCTCCACAGTGTTGGCTATAATCATTACAGAAGCAGATTTCCAGGGCTTCCTACCACTCAGTGAATTTGAACCATCATCCTTTACATTAATAGTTCACTGCAAACAACTTTTAAGTATTTTAGAGACTTTATACCTAAAAGGCTTTGGTAAATGGGCCTAGATGGTGCCAATGTAGTCTAATATTAACTATAATCCTGGATCAAGAGGTTATTCCAAATTTTATCAACTCAGTATAGGAATAACTTTTTTTTTAGGAATAACTTTTAAGAATATTATCTGCCCTATTTTATAGCAGCATGCGTTCCTCACATACATAAACAAAGGAAGGACCAAATTATAAATGGACATTATTGATCTTATATCATCACTCAGTTCCAGTTATCATCATCATAAAATAAATAGCTAGGATCTAGCCGTGTACCAATATTCATGGGTGAGTGTTTGTGTCACTTCGATGCTGGAAGGTATGGCCCCTGTAGTTCAAATATTAACAAGGTCACCCATGGTGGAAAGGTTTCACTAGAGCTTCCAGAATAAGACACTAGGAAATAGAAGCTGGACTATATAAAGAGGAATGTGGCATCAGGATTGGAGGAAGACTAATCAACAACTTGCTTTATGCAGATAGCACAACACTGCTGGCAAAAAGTGAAGAAGACTTGAGGCACTTACTGCAGAAAATAAAAAACAACACCCTTCAATATGAATTGAATCTCAACATGAGGAAAACAGAGAGGGTCTTCCCCTCCTGCACTGTCCCTCCACTCTACCCAGCATGATGTCCCTCTCTAAAGACCTGTCTCTCCTTACAACATGTCCAAAGTATGTCAGGTGAAGCCCCAGAATCCTTGCCTCAAAGGAGCAGCCTGGTTTAACCCTCTCTAGGATGAATCTGTTTGTTTTCCTGGCAGTTCATGGTACATTCAATACTCTTCTCCAGCACCACAGCTCAAAGGCATCAATTCTCCTTCTGTCCTCCCTAGTCATTGTCCAACTCTCTGATGCATAACAAATGATTGCAAAAACCATGGCCTGTATCAGGTGCACCTTCGTCTCCAGAGAGACACCGTTGCTCTTGAGTACTTTAGAGAGGTTCCTAACCGCAGACTTTCCCATCGCAATATGTTTTTTGATTTCCTGGCTACTGGTGCCAAGAGTGTTGACCGTGGAGCTGAGCAAACTGAAGCTGTGAACACTCTCAATCTCTTTGCCATCCATCCTGATGCTACTGATTGGTCCTGTGGTAAGAATTTTTGTCTTCTTAACATTGAGCCTCAGTCCATACTGAAGGCTGCAGTCCTTGACCCTCTGCAGTAAGTGCATGAAGTCCTCCTCAGTTTCAGCGAGCAAAGTTGTGTCATCTGCATAACACAGATTGTTGATAGATCGTCCACCAATCCTAACGCCATGCTTCTCCTCATAGAGCCCTGCTTCTCGGATAATCTGCTCTGCATACAGGTTGAAAAGGTATGGAGATAGGACACATCCCTGGTGTACACCCTTCCCAATTTTGAACCATGAAGTGTTGCCCTGCTCTGTTCTGACGACTGCCTCTTGGTCCAAGTACAGGTTTCACATTAGCACGATTAAATGTTCTGGGATTCCCATTCTTCTCAGAGTCAGCCACAGTTTGCTATGATCCACACAGTCAAATGCCTTTGCATAATCAATGAAACACAGATAGACATTGTTCTGGTATTTCCTGCTTTCAGCCAAGATCCATCTAACATCAGCAACGATATCCCTAGTACCATGACCCCTTCTAAAGCATTATCAAGAGGAGCTAGTCCTTGCAAAAAGAAATCCTGATGGGAGAGGAGGGAGGTCAGTGAATGAGAGGAATTCTCCTCCAACCAGGTAGATATTGAAACACTGGGTTTGAGTATGGCAGAGATTGTGAAGATGGTGCAGGTTCAGGTCTGTTGTTCATGGAGTTGCTATTAGTAGTAGTTGATTGAATGGCACCTAAGAACAACATCTACTTCGAAATCAAAGGCCCCTGCAGATTTTTGGGTGTTCTCATGCTCTAGTGGTAAGGAGCTGTGTTGCCAATCCAAAGCACAAGGTTTGAATCCACCAGCAGTTCCACAGGAGAAAGATGGGCAGTCTCCTGTCATTCAATTTAATACCTTTGAAAATGCACCAGAAGGTCAGCTGTGGGTTGGTTTTGTCATGATGGTACCTAACAGCAAGCAGGCCCTGTCAAGAACAGCAGAGACAGTGAAGTTGGAGCAGGATCAAGCAGGGTCGTGTTCTGTTGTATATCAGGTTGCTATGAGCTGGAGTCAACCTGATGGCATTAACAACAGCCTTGCACAGGATCTAGTTTTCATTCCAAAAGAGCCATAATAGGAGTTTTCCTTCTTGAAAGCAGAACCTCCCACATGGAAATCCACCTCCGAACAGATGTCAAAGGAACAGGCTTCCTTCCAACCACAAAATCACACATGTGGCAAGTCTACGATGTGTAGACTACGAGCATCCATAGTTGTATTTGTTTTTGTTGTTTCTCAACCAGATTTTTATGTACTTACAAACTTCATCGCCGTTCTTAGCTCGATAAAATATGGTGTAGTTGTTGATGAAGCCACGTCTCTCACTCTTGGGAGTCTCTTCCCATGTTATTGTGACTGTCTTCACATCAATGTTTTCTGCCTTGGTCATGGGACCTTTTAAAGGGACTTTAAAAGATAATAAATTAAATAAGTGGGTTTGCGTATGTCAGAAATCATTGTGGCGGCTCTGGCTAGGGCAAAGGTCAGATCTGCTGTTCTAGGGTCACTATGGATTATAGTCAACTCAATGATTTCTAATAAGTTCAAACTCAGTCCCACTCCAACAGGCCCTTCTTCCATCCAGTTTTTATGAGCACCCAAACCTAGTCAGACCATTACAGTTGGGAGGAGATTCAGATCTGTTGGTCATAGGGTTGCTATTAGAAGTAGTCAACTCGACTATGACAGCACATAACACCACCACCCACTCCTGAAATAACGGGTCATGCACACCCTGGGGAGTTAGGGGTAGGAGGCAGATGTAATTAAGGAGGTGAAAAATCCACTTGCTTGGGGAAATTATTTTCTAGAATCATATATCCTGAATGTTATTGTCATGCACTGTTGAACTGGAACCAAACCATAGCTGGCCCTCCAGTGGGTTTTCAGAGGCAGTTAATCACACAGAAGGAGACTGCCCATCTTTCTTCTGTGGAGTAGATGGTGGATTTGAACTGTGTGCCTTTGAGACTGTAGTGCAGCTTCTTATCAACAGGCTACCAGAACTCCCTATACTATACTATAGAGTTAGACTCATCATATTCATGGGGGAAATTAGAAAACCTACTTTCTTATAGATGTCTCACTACAACTTGACAGGCAGCTCTTTCATTCAGACCTGGATAGATACCATCAAACAGTTGAAGATGTGAACAACAAGCTTTCTTTCCTAACATTACACAGAAAGATGCATTTGGAAGATGTTAACATTGAATAAAAAAAATAAAATCTAAGCAGTTTACCAGTAAAATTCTTGCTTATTTCTAGGGAAATCTTATCACAATCTGCTGATGCTGTGGTTAGGGAATTTAGCTGCTAACCAGAAGTTCAGCAGTTCAAACCCCCCAGCTGCCTCACTACTTTCATAAAGATTTCTATTCTTGGAAAGTCTGTAGGGTTGTCTATTCTATTTTTTTAATTATTAATTTCAATGAACATTTACAGAGATTTTGGATTTCCATTCATTCATTGTTGCACTTTTCTTCCCGTCCACCCCACCCCCACCCCAAGGGTTGTCTATTCTACAGGATCACAATGGATTAGAATAGACTCTATGGCAATGAGTTTCCATTTTTGGTTTGGTATTCCTATCTATATGTTTTTAAAACAATTTTATAACATTTCTAAATAATAGTAGGGAGCTGTGGTGGCCTAGTGTTAAGAAGCTGCACTGCAATCCCAAAGGCACATGGTTGGGATCCTCCAACTGCTGTTAAAGTAGGATGGGCAATCTACTCCCACATTATTTACTTCCTCTGAAAACTCACTGGAGGATCAGCCATGAATCAGTTTCTACTAGAGAGCACACAACAAGAAGTTTCAATGAACCCTGTAGGGCTCCAGTTGTGCCACAGAGTTGAGTCTAATAGAATGACCCTAAGTACAAATGAACAAAATCCGTCTCATTATCAATCCATTTCATTGAGATTCTTCCTTTTTTATTGACCGTCTACCTTACCAAGCATGATGTCTTTCTGCAGGGATTGATGCCTTCTATAATATCTACAAAGTATACGAGACAATATATCTCCATTCTTGTTTCTAAAGAAACTTCTAAGTCATTACTAATTAATTGTTATTTCTGATTGGAAGTCTATTTACATTAGGCTTTGGGCATGTTATTTCACATCTGTGGGCCTCAGTTTTCCATTTAGGAAGGCAGAAGATTGCACATAACTTCAATGTTCCTAACGCAAAGCACGATACTGCCAGTTACTTCACATTCATGTGGAAGTTGGACAATGAATAAAACCCAGAAACAATCAGTGACTTTACATTGTGATTGAGGTATTGGTGAAAAGTATTTCATATACCATGGATGGCCAAAGGAACAAACAAATCTGTCTTTGTAGAAGTGTAGCCAGAGCACTTCTTGAAAGTAAGAATGGTGGCAATTTGTCTCATATACAGGAGTTAATTTCCTGGAGAAGGACATCATGCTTGGAAAAGCAGGTCAATGAGAGAGAGGAAGACCCTCAACTAGATGGAAGTAACAAATATGCAATAATGAGCTTCAGCTCAGCAGCTATTGCCAGGACACATAGGACAGGTACGGTTGTACAGAGGGTCCTTTATGAGTTAGATACAACGTAACAATACCTAACAACACCCTAGTTATGAAATTGAGTGAATGTACAATATGGCCACAATTGTGAGACATATTGCTTAGTACAAGCTGATGGGTCAGCAGGGATGGACTCCAGGGAATTCATAAATGAGCTTCAGGGGTCTATAGCCTTACTTGAATGCTGGGCAGGTCCCATTGTTTCCCTCACCCCACAGATCTCCGTAACACATACCTCCTTCTTTGATATAAGCCTGGATGGAATAAGGTTCACCCACTTGCTTGTCAAGCATTGGATACACAGAGATGTTATAGCACAAGAAAGGCTTTAATTTATCTGTAAGGAGAAGGAGGGGAGGCTAAGTAAGTGTTGAGCATGGTACAGTGAAAAGAATTCACTGCTGAGAGTTATGACATTTATGTCAGATACTAAATTTTTTTTAGAGCTTCCATATCTGCAAAATAAGTAGGTCTCTAAGGTCTACTACATACTCAAACATACCTTGCTTTATCATGCTTCATTTTAATGTACTTCATACACAAATTGAAGTTTTGCTGCAACCTTGCATTCAGCAAGTCTATAGGTGCCATTTTCCCAACAGGATGTTTGCACACTCTGTGTCACATTTTCATCATTCCTCTAATTTAAACTTTTACATAATTCCATTGTACACTTAACAAGCTAGATTATGATATAAACATAATTTTGACATGCACAGTGAAACAAAAAGCCATTATTGAAACTCAAATCCACCACAATATTCCCTTTATTATATCATAGTGGTTTGAAAATGAAGTCACAATATTTCTGAGGTATGGTTGTAAAGAGAATCCAAATGGATCCGCACACTCAGGCACACCCACACAAATAAAGCTCTAGAACCAAAATAAGTCAGAAAAATTTCAAGATAGAAGAACAACACACAAATGCCAGTTTTATTTTTTTTTTTCCTTTTCTTTTTCGGTTTTATGTCTATACAATCTGAAGATAAATTAAGACAATTCTATTTTGTTGTTGTTGTTATGTGTCATCAAGTCACTTGTAACTCATAGTGACCCTTCAAAAGCTCTGAACCCTGCTGTACCCTGGGCCAGACTCACTGTCTCCTACCCCATTACTACATACCTAACCCCATTACCCCAGTCACAGAGTCAATCCATCTCATCAAGGGTCTTCCCCTCCTGCACTGTCCCTCCACCATCCCAAACATAATATCCCTCTCCAAGGACTGTCCCTCCTTGCAACATGCCCAAAGTACAGAAGATTAAAAAGAAAAAAAAAAACTTATTCCAGTTCTCTGAGTTCATACTTAGAATTAAAGCATGGACCTCCCTAACAAATTACAGAAGAATCCAGCAAGGCAGATGAGATCAGGCCATGCCCTATCCCTGATTTTGTCATATGATCTAGGGGTGCTTCAGAGCAAAGCTTAATCCCTCTGTCACTAGCATGCCCCCCGCCCCCGGAGAACTAGTGGCCTACTCTGTCTTCTTGCATCCCTGTAGGAGCATTGTACTCACATAAATCACACCAGAATCAAATTCATTCTGACTCCTAGCTACTCCAAAGGACAGAGTAGAATTGTCCAATAGAGTTTCAAATGCTGTAATTTTCAGAGGTCTACCATATCTTTCTTCTGTAGAGTGGCTGAAGGGGTCCAATCACCTACCATTTAACTAGCAAGTGAGTGCTTTAACCACTTGCAACCAGGACTCCTTTACTTGTTAACATGGAAGCTACTAAGAAGTGTTTGGGTTGATATGATTGAAATTATAAAGCCTTGTGTCTACACGATGTAGAGTTTTTGTAAAGAAGGCCTCTCCTTTGTATCACCTACTAGGCGCCTTAAAGGAGAGCCAGAAAAGAAGGGAATATTACACAGGACAGGCAGGATCCAAACTCTGATTTATTCACAGGATGAGCAAAATATTGGGAAAGGGCTCTCCAAAGAGAAACAAAACTTGTTACGGAGTCAAGTTTATTAAATGCTGAATTGAAAAAATAACCTCAACTCATGTCCTCTACTTGGATCCAAGCCATAGCTGATGCTCCAGTGGGTTTTCAGAGGCAGGAAATCACATGGGAATTGACTGCCCATCTTTATCTTTTGGAGCAGCTGGTGGATCCAAGCCACATACCTGTGCACAGGCAGTGCAATTCCTTACTACCAGAGCTTCCTAGGCCTTTGATAATAGATACTATCAAAGTAGTATTACCCACATGGAGACAGGCTGGGGTCGAAGAAGTAAGGAAATCTGTCACAGAAACTGCAAAATTTTACTGAGTCCTTGGGATAAAAAGATGGTGGTGGTTGTTATGTTCTGTCGAGTCGCCTACACCTCACAGCGATCCTGTGGACAGTAGCTCTGAACTCTGAGCTATCCTAAGCCAATTTCATTGTCTACAACACACCTACCTCCACTATTCTAGTTACTGAGTCAATTCATCTCATCCAGGTCTTCCTCTCTTGTGCTGTTGAAGCACGATATCCTTCAAAGGATCAGTCCTTCCTGGCAACATGCCCAGAGTATGTGAGACGGAGCTTCAACCTATATTGAAGGTGGCAGCAAATGCTTCTTGTCCATCTCAGTTGCAGCAAGCAAGGTTGTGTCATCTGCATAACGCAGGTTGTTGATGAGTCCTCCTCCAATTCTGATGCTACATTCCTACTCATAAAGTCCAGCCTCTTTATTTTATTTTTTACCTTTTTTTATTGGTTTGCTTACAGTGTTCATATACATTGTGTTTCACACTATTCTTAATCCATATTGTGTTTCATACAATCATTCACATGCATTATGTTTGTTTTATAGAATCAATCACCATTGGACCTTACTCATCATTACCCTGTATTTACACTTGGATCCTTCTCATTTTTTTCCCTGCTCTCTTCCACCTACCAAACTGTGGTTTTGCCCCAACCCATCCTCACCCCTCGATTCTCATCCCTCCTCTCCTTGGGTTCTCATACATGTTTTACTAGTTTCCTTCTATTTTTACAAAAATAGTCTTATGTAGTATTTATCCTTATGAGACTGAGTTAGTTCACTCAGCATAATGCTTTCCATTCTCTTCCAAGTTATGTAGTATTTTCAAAATCATTGCTCCTGAGTGCTGCATAGTATTCCATTGTGTGAATGTACCACAATGACTCAATCCATTCAGTGTGTTAAGACATTTGGGCTGCTTCCCCATTCTTGCAGTGGTTAATAGCGACAACAACAACAAGTCCAGCCTCCTGAAAAATATGTTCCATATGTAGATTGAAAAAGTGTGGAGATAGAATGTATACCTGGCATACATCTTTCCCGATTTTGAACCATGAAGTATTTCCCTGCTTCCTACTACAAGTACAGGTTTTGCATGAGCACAATTAAGTATTCTGGGATTCCCATTCTTCTCGAGGTTAGTCACAATTTGTTTTGATCCACACAGTCAAATGCCTTTGCATAGTCAATGAAACACAGATAGACATTCTTCTGGTACTCTGTGCTTTCAGCTAAGATCCATCTAACATTGGCTATAATGTCCCTAGTGCCACGGCCTTTTTGAACCCAGCTTGTATTTCTGGTAGTTCTCTGATGATGTACTGTTCCACTCATTTGTTTATAATCTTCAGCAGGATTTTGCTTGTATGTATGTTTGATAATTTCCACTCTCTGCCAGATCATCTTTCTTTGGAATGGTAATAAATATGGTTGGCTCCACAGTCAACACTCTTGGCACCAGTAGCCAGGAAATTAAAATACATAGGCAATAGGGACCTTTCCAAAGTTCTGAAGAGTAATGATGTCTCTCTGGAGACTAAGGTGTGTCTGATACAGGCGATGGTCTTTGCAATCACTTGTTATACCTCAGAGAGTTGAACAATGACTAGGGAGGATAGAAGGAAGATTGATGTCTTTGAGCTGTGTTGCTGGAGAAGAGTATTGAGTGTACCATGGACTGCTAAGAAAATAAACAGATTCATCCTGGAGAGGGTTAAACCAGGCTGCTCCTTGAATGCAAGATTCTGAGGCTTCCTCTGACATACTTTGGACATGTTGTAAGGAGGGACAGGTCCTTGGAGAGGGACATCATGCTTGGGAGGGTTGAGGGACAGTGCAGGAGAGGCCCTCTATGAGGTGGATTGATTCAGTGACTGGGTTAATCGGGATGGGTGTGTCGGAAACAGTGCGATTAGCACAGGACAGAGCAGGGTTTAGGGCTGTTGTACATAGGATCATTATGAGTCCTAAACAACTCAACGGCACATAACAACAACAACAGCAATAAATATGGATCTCTTCTAGGTTGACCAGGTAGTTACCCTCCAGATTTCTTGGCAAACCTGGTGAATGTGTCCAAGGTAGCATTTGTAGAAATCTGTTAGTTGGTATGTCATCAATTTCTGGAACGTTGGGTGTTTTTTGGTGTTTTTTGTTTTGTTTTGTTTTGTTTTTTGTTGTTGTTGTTTTGCCAATTCCCTCAGGGCAGCTTGAACTTCTTCCTTCATTATCATTACCTCTTGATTATAAGGTCTCCGAGGAAGGACAGAACCTAGTGCAAGCCAAGAAAGATAGTTTATTGAGGAGAAACTGCCGGGCTGGTTCTCAAGCAGAAGACCAACCGCCACTGAGAGTTAGAGGGAAATTTTACACTTTCTTACAAGGGACTTGGGGAAGGGGATGCTTACAGATGCTTCCTTCAAGATAGGGAAGTGGGCGAGGATCCGAGAAAACTATTTCTGGGAAAAGAGGTATAGGATAGTTTCATAGAAAAAGCGCAGCTGTTGTTTCCTGTGATTGATTCTCTCGGTAGCGATTCTGGGAGAGGAAGGAAAGGGCCCTGCAGTCCTAATATTGATAATATATTGTTTCATGAAATTCTTCTGTGTCAGCCAATTTTTTTTGGTACAATGACTGACTCTGTGTACTCCTTCCATCTTCTTTGGATGCTTCCTGGATCATTGTTATGAGCAGTTTAAGTATAAGAAAATATAAGTTTACTGTGAAAGCATATTATATGTTTATGTTTATTTGTCTTGAGTGGTTTAAATATAAGAAAACATTTTAAATTTGCTATGAAAGCATATCATGTGAAAACATATTGGTTTAAGTTTAAGAATAAGACACATGAATTTGCTATGAAAATATACAAGTTTGTTATAAAAACATGTTATGAATTTGCTGTGAAAATAATGTATAGTGAAGTGTACTGAAAGAGTTTGATGTAAAGATGCCCAAATATGTCCTTACATGCCTGTAAGGCCCCACTTGCCTCAACATTTGTAAACCCCTGATAAGGGAATGTAACTTGTTACTGCCCTTGTTGCTAAGGGAATGTAACTTGTATTT